CCCTTTACCCCCCCCCCCCCCCAGGGTCCCCAAGACAAAATGAAAGAAGAAGAAGAAAAAAGGACAGCTCATTAGAAGTTAGCGATTAAGTTTAAAATGATGACCAACCCCAACAGAAATGTAAAGGAGATCAGGTAGTTTAAGCTGTTAGTGTCTTTGTTTATCCATGATCTTCAGCATGACAATTTCCAGAAATCCAACGTGACAACTATTAAAGCAAACATCAATATGCTTGCTCTTTGTCTTATGAAATATATATTCTGCCATTGAAAGTTGAGCTCGAGGTCCCTGAAGAATCAGAATTGGAAGAGGACAGGGAGGAGGAAGCAAAAGCCATATGCCCAAGGAAGACAAAGATTATGCTAATTCTTCTAATAGTTGGAAGGAAACTCATAATAAATCCTAATACACATGCAACTCTGGCGGGTATTATTTGGTCAAGCATACACTTCAGGTAAAGCCTTATTAAGCATCTCTAGAAATAGAAATCTATCTTCTTAAAAACTCCTCATTAAAAATCAGTGGACTTCTTTGTTTACACAAAATGAAGTGCAGGTGGGGAATCAATCTACCAACAATTGTTGGACGATCAATATCAATACTTTCAGATGGAGGGCTAGGAATGGCAATGTTTAGCATAGGTACAATGGATAAAAAGCACTCACTGCATGAATTACTAGAGTATCAACGAGAAAGAAAATGGCTCAACTACTAATATTGCACTAATTCAACAGGTGTTTTCATGGCATCCCAAGCTAGTATTATAGCATGCGGAACCAGAAAAGCAATATTAGCAATGGCACTAAAGTTTGTTCTTGGACCTGTACTCATGGCAATCTCATCTATTGCTGTTGGACTAAGGGGAAAATTGCTAAAATTGGCGATAGTGCAGGTGAAAGTATATTGTTTTCTGATGTCGATTCATGGCAGATTAGTTAACACTGTACTTTGTATTGCAGGCAGCCCTTCCCCAAGGAATCGTTCCTTTTGTGTTTGCCAAGGAATATAATACACATCCTACCATCTTAAGTACAGGGTACCAGATAGAATTATCAACTCGAACTTTTAACTTCTTCACTAAGAACATTTCAAGCAGATATGATTTTTGATGTGGTTCCATTCTGATTGTAGGGTAATCTTTGGCATGCTGATCGCAATACCAATTGCTTTGGCATACTATTTCCTTTTGGAAATATGAAACTCAGACATGGTCATGGGGTAGCAGATATTCACAATATTATAAGAAATACAATTCGTAGTCTTGTAGCATCACTCAACTGTAGAGTGATTACAGTGAAGAAAAAGGCAAAAATCTCACTGAAGTATAGTTTTTGTATAAAATAATAAAGGATGAATGTGCGTCGAGTTCTCTTACCAACTCACTTGTTATAAAACATCAGCTAGAATGCATAAATAAATCCAGTACATGCACTATCCGGTCAATGCAGAGTGTCCAAGTTCAAACTTTTCAAAGAGAAAGAGGATTACATGAACAATATAAATGACCATGAACAGTATTGCTGAGAACACGTCAATTTCAACGACAAAACTAATGAGTTGTTAGATAATCAAAGAGAGCAACAAGGAGGTGATCTAGGCCGAGAAACTTTAAGATAATCAGCGCACGTTTGAACAACAAAACTAATGAGTTCACAAGTATAGCATCATATCAATTGATGTCAACCAAAAAGGATATGTAGGTCTACAAAATGAAGTAAATTTTAACACTTTGACAAGGAAAAAAATCACATTCTGCAGATTAAGAGCCCGTTTGGGTTAGATGAATAAAAGTAAAGCACTTAGGCTTAAAAGCACTTTTAAGTGCTGAAGCTGAAAATACGCAGTTGATGTGTTTGGTTAAACTGTCTGGTTAACACTATTTTCTGTTAAAATGACAAATGACATTAAAGTTGTTAACACTACAAAATGGCAATGGTCCACCATATCCGATAATAACACTTGACTGAGCTAAAATAGTTAAAATCTTATTCCATAATTCCTCACACTACAAATATGTTCAACTCTAGAATCCAAAATACAATACTACTTACATACTAATTTGCAAAAGAAAATACAAGAATTAAAGAAATTCACTCACTCTACGTCAAATCCTTTCTTTTGTAGCTCAGAAATGACTTCATTCTTCATCCTGATCCACAGCTTGAAGGCTTCTTGTTCAAATTTCTTATCCTGCAATACTTTCTGATAATTAAACGAATCTTTATCAGATTCAACGATTCCTTTAGGACCAATTGTAGTGCCAATCATTCCACCTTTGGCAACGAACTCTTCCATTGCCTTCTCGTCACCTGGATACGGAAATTTCCTGCGTTCATAAAGGTGTGCTAGTTCTTTTTCTTCTTTGGGCTTTGGCTTCAAGGTCCACCAACCAAGCGGCGACGTTTCATTCCACACCCATGCTACCCCGAACAACGTGTAAGTACACAGCAACGCCTTTCCCACTTTCTTCCAAAAATGATAATCTTCTTTGCCTAATCCGATTCTCTTAAGGTATTTCTGGGAATCAAATGATTTTGCCAATGAAGGACCTGTTTTGGTATGCATCATGCAGCTACTGAAACTGTTTCTGGTAAAGCCCGATTACCCGACCGGTTCCGAGCTCAAAACCCGTGTAGTTACTCGGGTTACTGCTCTTTTGTGGAATTGATGACAAAATCAAGATTACAGTATGCCCTTATTTTGTCAGCTATTTCGAATTTAATTGAAGTTTTTTTAAGAAAGAATTACAAGAAAATACACGTAACTTCACCCCGATAGCAAAAAATAGCATATATTTTTAAGTTTTATCCGACCTAGCTCATATTGTATATATTTTAAAAGCACTAGCAAATTCAAAATCTGTGTTGTTACAACCATTGTTTCTAAAAACTACAACAACAACAACAACAACGACCCAGTATAATCCCACAGGTGGGGTCTGGGAGGGTAATATGTACGCAGACCTTACCCCTACCCCGAAGGGTAGAGATGCTGTTTCCAGGCTTGTTTCTAAAAACTATGGAGTTAAATTTGTGTTCTCACCACCATTCCTTTCACTCTTTCTTCTTCTCACGTCTTCTACATATGCTTCAAGGGGCCGTATATTTTCTATTTCTCCTCTTATGTCACCTGGTTGCCATGTAAGAAAATTGAAGAGTAGAAGTTCACCATTGAAGACCATTCAAAGCTTTGATTTCGAAAATGAGTTATTTTTAGTTTGTTAGTTGTTTGGATTGGGTATTGTTCCAATTGATTGAAAATATCAAAAGCAGTTCAAAATTTAAATTTGAAGTGATTTGGAGTAGATTTGAGCAAGATTTGAGTTAAAGTTCATAAAAGAGACAAGGAAGAAGACGAAGTAAGTTTTTTGTATAATTATGTATAATCTTGTATAATAGTGTATATGAGTGTATAAACACATTTTATACACTATTATATATTTTTATACACCTTTATACAAGCGTATGTAGACAAACTTTTTCCACGATTTTCAGTTGCAATTCTTGTTCAAAACCAATCCAAATCTCCATTAAATGACTTCAAATTTTATATAGGCGTAATGGTTTCCTGGCCACTTAAACTTGGACCGGATTTTAAAGCCGATATACAAACTTATATTATTCCCATTTGAACACTTGAACTTGACGGAATGAGTACAAATAAATACATCCAGTAATGCGTGTATATCAATTGCACTGATATGTACAATGCGTCATATACTAGACTATTTATTACTTGACATGTATTATTTGTAGATCTTATTCTTAAATACTAAATAAGCAAAAAAGAAGTCACAAATTAAAAGAGAGAGAGAGACAGAGAGAGAGAGAGAGAGAGAGAGAGAGAGAGAGAGAGAGAGAGAGAGAGNACTAATTAATGGTCTCATTTAGATCACATGAATTAGACTACTTAGATTAGGATTTAGAATACACCTGAATCACAAAATTGACAGAAAACAATCACTGTGAGTAATTTTATACGAAGGACAATATTGAAATCTTTATATGCAAATGATGAAATCAAAGAATTTGATTTTATCCCCAAAACTTTTGATGTGCATCTGGTAGGAATTTCCCCTAAGACAAGAGGAGGAAGGGGGTAGATTAGAGAGGGGGAGAAAGAAAAGAAGGGGGAGGTGGGNAAAAGAAGGGGGTGGGGGGGACGACAATGAGGGGGAAGAACGTGTGGGGTGAATGGAATTTTGCTGAGGGATGGGGAAGTGGGTCTGGTTATTTTCTTTCTTTTTAATTTGTATTTTTATTTTTTTGGTTTTAGATTTTTTTAAATCAAAATTATTGTAGTCACGCACTTAATTTTCGTGACTTGCTCACACTTTGTCCACATCATCTCTGTCACTGTCGCATATTTATGGTCAACGGTCAAATAGATTTATTAGTTACCGGATATGTGAGTTTGAGTGTCCTAATGGGAATAATGTAAGTTTGTATATTGGCTTTAAAATCCTGTACAAATTTAAGTGGCCAGGTGCCATTACGCCTTTTATATACAACCTCCTTATACTATTTCTAACAAGTCTAAATAATACCCACTCCAAATTTCTCACAAAATCAAATTCAGAATTTAAACCCACATATTTAAGCTTGTTAAAAATCTAATTTTCACCACCCAAATGGATTTGGTTTGTTGAACTAATATTTGAGTCACAATTCGAAAATTAACTTAAAAGCTTGAGGAATCTTTTTTTTAAAATTAAATAGTAATTTTGAGAACCGATTGAAGATGAATGTTGAATCTTAGCCTATTATTTTTGGGTTAGTTGGTTGTAAAATGAAATATGGGCTATAAAATTGAAAAGTAGGGAGCCCGATTATTCTTATGTGAAATTTTTCCCAAAAAAAAAACTTATTCAAAAGGAATAATGGTCCTCACAAAAGTGCTAATCTTTTTTTTTTCCAATCAAAATTCTTGTCCAAATATAATTTTAACTTCCCAAGCATTCTTTTTTTAACTTCAATTTTAAATAGGACAAATATCACTTTTAGCCCGTACCAGAAATTATTTACATTCGGTAGTCGAAAAAGTATATAAAATTTGTATACGAGTCCTTTACACTATGTTTGGATCATTGTTACCCATTATTTATAATGTACTATATTGTATTGTATCGTATCTTATCGTATCGTTTTATGAACACAACGTTTGGATAGATTGTATTGTTTGTTGTTGTTAAATAATGTTTTACTGTTTGGTTTGACTGTATCGTATTATACTGTAATTGATAAGTTTACTAAAATACCCTCGATTATTAAAATATTACATTTATCAAGAATTGCGCATAAAAATAATTTAAGAAAATCTCTTTCTACTAATTTATCACCAAATATGTCTTATAAATAGATTAAGAAATTAAATTCATGCAAATTCTAACAAAATTAGCGGAGCAAATTAATAATATCAAAAACAATAATAAGTACACTCCATTCCTAACTAGATAATAATAAAACAAAAAATAAAATGTTAACGAACTATGATAAAGAAAGGAACGAGAATTGGCAGAACATAAATAATTAGAATTAACGATAAAATCAAATTAGGAGAAAAAAGAAACAAAAGACAAAACACCTTTGACGTTATAGTTGGAAGCGGCAGAAGTTCTGGAAAAAAAAAGGGACGAAGATAGTAGTTTATAGGTTGGAGATTTGGAGTTAAAGTTAAAAAAAAAAGGTAAAAGGCAAAATAGAATCATGGAGTAATAAGTTAGGGCATAATAGGAAAAAAAAAAATAGGAAACAATCTCACCACGTTATACAATAGCAATGGGTAACAACCACCCAAACAAGTCGTAAGAGACTCATAAGAAAAAATGGGTAACAACCACCCAAACAAGCTGTAAGAGACTCGGAAGAAAAAATGTTAGAAGAAATATGGAGATGCGGGGTATCGATCCCCGTACCTCTCGCATGCTAAGCGAGCGCTCTACCATCTGAGCTACATCCCCTTGGTGTCGGGGAAGGTTCCTTTGTTTTTAAATTCTATTCTTTGAACAGCCACAGAGAGTCCAGAGTTGTACAATATTCAAAGCGGCAGAGCCTGTCCGGCTTGCAACAGTGGAGCTCGTCCAAAATCGAAATGTTAAGGAGATTACTGTCTCAGGCTTCAACTCAGCGTCGTTCGCTGTTTGGTACTTCTGCTTCACTCTCATGGTGTCGTCAATATTCTTCTTCTCCTCCATTAACGTCCCAATCTCCTAATAGTACTTCTGTCGAACACTTGGGGGACACGGAAGCTAGTCCCACGGTCCCCTCTGCAGCAATCTCCATCGACCGCTCCGGCTTATATAATCCTCCTGGTACTTTTTCTTTCAATGCGTAAAGTATTTCCAACTCTTTGTACTGTTCCTCTACTGGAGGTTTAGTTTTTGATAATTTGATAAATGCCTTGTAAAACTTGCAGAGCATTCACATGAACCGTCTTCGGATTCCGAGCTTGTTAAGCATCTTAAAAGCATCATCAAGGTTTGAAATTTACCCCCTTCTCGACTTCAGCATGTCTTTTGATATGCATTTGCTTTTTGTGCTTTTTATTGTTTTTTGATAAATCAAAAATCATTTCATTAATAACACACCAAGCTGGTGTTATGCCATTCAGGATTGATTTTAGCGAGTACTTTAGCTTAACAAAGATTTACGATTTATCTTCCTTTTTCTAGACTTTTATGATGTCTCAATCAGGTTTAGTCCCTGTTTGGTATAATGCCATCAATTAATAGCTAAACTTCAAACCTAAACAAGTCTGACTCGGAAAATTGGCCATAATCCCTGTTTGGTACGCGATAAAATGTAATCTCTGGTGGAAATCATCTTTTGCTGGTTAAAAACTGTTGAAAATATACTACGATTTGTAAAGATCATTAATCTAAATGCAAATTCAGATATGTAATGGTGATTTTAGAAACTTGGCGATGTCTGTATATTTTGTTTTTTGGTGATAGTGAGGTTCTGTATCTCAAGCTGGTTAAGTTTTCAGTTCAGAGGCGGGCCTATATCAGTTGCTGAATATATGGAGGAAGTTTTGACTAACCCGAAGGCAGGGTTCTATATCAATCGCGATGTGTTTGGCACAGAAGGTGATTTTATTACCTCTCCTGAAGTTAGCCAGATGTTTGGAGAGGTAATTTTGTTACACTGGGTTGTTCTTCATGGTTTTCTTCATTCATCGTTGGTTGATTTCTAAAAACAAAAGAATAGCCAAATTTACCACCACAGTTTTGTTTGATTTTCTGATTTTCTTTTTCTTTAGATGGTTGGTGTTTGGGTGATGTGTCTTTGGGAGCAAATGGGGCAGCCAAAAAAATTAAATCTTGTTGAGCTGGGACCAGGACGAGGAACTCTTGTAGCTGATCTTCTACGAGTACAGTCCCATAGATCTCCACCTCTCCAACTTGCATATTCTAAAGTTTCTTACATTGTTTCATAAAATATTAATCTAGTTTTGATATGCCTGAACTGCACTTGTGGATTTCTGAACCACAGGGTGCATCGAAATTTAGGAACTTCACAGACTCTTTGCAGATACACATGGTTGAATGTAGTCCTACTCTACAGAAGCTCCAATATCAGAACTTGAAATGTATAAACAAGAATGACGCAGATGGAGATGCGGAGGAACAGATTATTAGCAGGTTGACGGGGACCAGTGTATCATGGCATGCCACCTTGGAGCAGGTCCCAGCAGGAGGTAAGAAATTATTACCTGCAACTTTA